AGCTTATCGGGTTCGAATTTGGCAAAACAGACATCGGATTCAGGACGTCGAAAATCATAAATTATGACTTTTCAAAATTTTTAAATTTTTGGTCAAAGTCAGCGGTCACGGTCAACAGGTTGGGTCAGGTCGGGTCAAACCGGGTCAAACGGGTCGGGTCAAAATTGGGTCAAACTGCCCCAACAGTTTCTGAAGCTCCCCCACGTGCAGGGGCGGCGTGTGAACAGTGCTACGGTGTCCGAAAAATTCCCGAAAATTTTCTAAAAATATTTTATGGCATTTTGAGACACTTACCAAGCTCGGTTCACAATTTTGAACGGTGGAGAGCTTGATTCCGAAACGTCGGAAACTTTGACTTCCTCACCCCTCCACGCACTAGCGACGACGGAGACACAGAGCACACCGGTGGACTCGAAATGATGCAAGGAACACGATGGTGCAGGAGGTGTCGAAAACGGGTGGCCGGAATGACTTGAATCGACGAAAGACCAACAAAAATTGAGTGAAAACCGACGATAGTTCCAATTAAGATTTATGAAAAACGAAGTTGATTCACGACGAAAGGTTTGAGGGGTTTTGTTCTTCGGTCGACAACGAACACGATGGTGGTTTCGGTTCGTCGAACGCTTACCGGACTGTGAATAGATTGGAGCTCAAAGTGGGTTGACCGGAAGAAGAAAATGAGGAAAAATCTGCAGAAAACATACGGGAGGGGTTATAATTCATACCTAAAGAAAATTGGGTAAATTCAGGACTGGGTCACTGAATTTCCTACGATTCCTAAAATAGTCTACCAACTTTGAAATTTTACAATTTAATCCTCAATTTCTCCCAAAATACCAAATTAAAATCAATATTTTATAATTTCTTAATTTTAACCCCTAAATTGGGGTGTGGCAGGAAGGCTCCCCTACTTGTTTCCCAATAAGACAATACAAAATGGATGGTAAAATACCAACTCACAACTCTCAAACCTCCATGAATCCCTAAAAAACATGAACCACTCTAAAACCTTAAATGCTCTATGAACCCTATTATATGAATATTAACATCACACATTGAAGATTAAGAAATGAGGATGATGATGATGATTCTTACCTTCAAAATCACTTCACTAACACCAATACTCCAGGATGGATTGGAAAAAGAAATGGAGTAGGGAATGAGGGAATGCGAGTGAGGTCATACAAGGTCTTTTTGTCCTATCACGCGCTGCATTTTGGTCTTATATTAAAAATCATGAATCAAATTTCATTTCCCCTATGAAAAAAATAAATCTTTAGTCCATCCAAGTTCCTCCCACATTCAAATTCATCATTTAGAAATCTCAATTGGGCTCAAATTCTCACTTAAAAGACACAAACCTTAGGATTAACTAAATACACGTTGAATTATAATTTTCTAAGCTCGAGCCAACTCTTAAATATTGACTCGATATTTTTTGGTCGTTACAGATCATATTAAAAAAACAGGTGTTATCATTTAACTAATTGATTGATTTAATGTGTACTCCATTGGTATTCTAGAAGACATAATTGTTCAAGTTAATGAACTTGTATTATTTGCATATTTTTACGTTATGCATATGAAAAATAATGATTTCTCTAACCCTAATTTATTTTTATTAAGGAGTTCATTCTTAAAAACATAAAAAACGATAATTAATGCACATGATGATACCCTTATAATGAAATTTGATAACGAAATTAAATTTAATATTTATGATGTCATGAAATATCCAAATAATGCATGTTCATTATTTTCTTTATATGTTATAGATCCATTGATGCAAAAAGTCTTTAAAATGACATACGAAGATGAATTTGGTAATACAGAAAATTATAGTTGTAAGAATAAGAAAAGGAGAACACACCCTCACAATAAACTCATCATTGGCTAAAATCACTTGCGACGGAGGAGAAATTATTTGATGCAGGATAATGAATGAGCTGCAATGTCTAGCCAAAGACACTAAAGAAATGCGCTTCATAGGAGGAGGTAACTCATTTTATTATTTTATTTTTAGATAAGATTATAATGAAGGAGAGTTATGAATGATTATAAAGAAAATATATATTTTTTAATATTGAGAACCAAACAATAAGAACAATGGATGGACTCAACCATTTTTCCACCACACATGACATTACTCGTGCTCAACAATAAAAAAATTTCTTCTCTTCATGATTATCTTTTTCATTAGAAATTTCATTATAACTTGAGTTAAAAGAATAAAGACATTTTCAGGTAAGGAGAGTACGAAATCTTTTAATTAATAAGATGAAATTTCATTCTCGTCGTATATTTTTCTAAGCTTAATTACAATAAGAAGAAAAAGACCATTTGATCTATCGGTCCTAATTTAATAATGGAGACGTGATATATTTGTAAGCTTATGGTAAACTTATTTTCATTGTTATGACTTGAGTGTTGTATCATTCTAAACACTTCGAGCGATAGTAAATCCTTAATGAGTGTGTCAAGTCTTATTTTGTTTTCATTGCAATAGATTAATGAAGTGTTAGACATTGACTCAATTTCTAATTTGTAATTAAGTTGGATGTTATTGTAATTCTAGCAGTTAAATATTATTTGATAATTAAGTTTATTTAATAAGTAAATACTTATTTCAAGCAAGAAGTCTTATAAAATTATTCTTTTTGGTGAACAAATATTTGACTCTATAAATATGTAATATGTATTAACCTTTAAAATTATGATAAAAAAATATTTTGTTAAAATATAATCATTTTGGAGATTTCTGCAACTTTTAGATTTATGTTGCAGAGATGATTTTGTAGGGATATTAAAGAGTGTTTTCAGATACATTAGATTTTAATATATATATATATCAAGTTTTAAGTCATATGAGATTTCATATATTTTGTATTGTTTGTTAAAATATACAACTCTATTATAATTTCTTGTTTTGTTATACATACTCGAGTACAAAATTTGTAATACTTATAAAATATTATAACATGAGAAATATATATAATATACTCTTAAAAATGTAGTGGAATCGACTTAGTTGGGTTTTTTCCCGAAAATGTGTGTTTTTAGTAGAAAGTAGTATATGTTCAAAATATTTTTTAGTCATTGATAACACACACCTTGCAAATGCAAATACTCGAACTTTAAGATCTTTAAGGAGAATAACACCCTTGTAACCACCTAGAATATTTAATAGATGATTAAAAATGTGTTCTTTTAGCTTGTAGCAGAAACTAACAGAAGGCACAAATTAAGTCACTTTAGTGGTTAAAGGGATGGTTGTTATCCCTAGAGGTCACAAGTTTAAGCACCAAAGACGACAATGATGTTTGGGCTTTTCATTATCAAATGATGAAAAATCTTTAAAACAAATACCACCTTATAATCATCTAGATTAATAAAAAAAAACTAACACAAAGGTCTAGGTCTAGGCAGTAGAAACTAACACAAGGGTCTAGATCTAGGCAGCAAAAACCAAATAAGAGTGAGATTTGTGCAATGTGAACATGTGGTGTACGTGGTAGCCCATTAGATTTCAGCCAACGGAAAAGTAGCCCATAAAGCCACAATCCTTTTCAATTCAATAACTAATTTATTACAAATTTTTTATTTAAAAAAAACTAAATTTAGTAGTTACAATTAGGGCTGGCAATTATTCATGGGTAAGTGGATTATCCACCCACCCGCCCCGAATAAATGAATGAAAACATACTGTGAAACAGATGATTGACGGGTGATGGATGGATCGGGTGATGGGTTGGGTCGGATATGGATGAAATTTTTTTTGACCCATCACCCGCAGCATCCATCCACCCATTAATATATCCATCCATCCATATATATATATATATATATATATATATATTAAAAAAACGGATGATTGTAAATATTCTTATTCTCTTAATTCTGATTTTTATCCCATTGAAAATATGTCTAATTTTTTTAATATTGGTTTATCCCTATTGATACTAGGATAGAGAGAACTTTTGAGAAGTGATAGTTTGTTGATGAAGATTTGAAGATTATATTTGGTGTACAATACTATACATGATGCATCTATTCACTTGAAAATATATCACAAACATAGTGCACAAGACTATATAAATTGTGTTCCATTTTGTTTTTGTTTGAATTTGATGAAAATTTATTGTTCATGTTTTGGTTTCTATGAATGTTTGAGTATCAATGTTTGGTTTCTATGAATGTTAGAAGAATTTGAGCTTAGGATGTAAAAATAGGTTTTGTTCATAGTATCATCCATTTCTCACCCGCTCCACCAGCAGATGATGGATGGAGCGGATATGGATGAAATTTTTTGTGGGTGATGGATGTTGTAGATGGAGATTTGGACCTCGGGTGATGGGGCGGATGAAGCGCCACCCGACCCATCTCTGATCCATTGCCAGCCTTAGTTACAATAGTTATAAAGTTCTGCGGACACCACTCATCAATTTCAATCGCATCAACTCCACAACACGCACAACAACTGCTTCGTGTTGTCTACGTTGTCACCCCCGTGCGTCGAGGGCCAAAATGCGGACATTTCTATGGTAAATTAAATAAGGATAAACTACGTATTTAGTCTGTAAGATTCTGTTTTGGTCATCAAATTATTTTATTTTAAAATCATTTTTAACATTATGTTTTAATCGACTCTATTAAAAATTAATAACAATGTTAATGTGTCATCATAAGGTAATATAATATCACAATTACAGGAAAAAAATTCACAATAAAAATTTCATTTAATTTTTTAACGAATGATGACCGAAGAGAAACAAAAATGTAACAATAAATATGATTTAAAAAATAATTAAATAATTAAAATAAAACTATGAAAATAAATAAATGACTAAATGCTAATTTATCCAGTTAAATAAAGGTTTGCCTGCCGTGTCAAAAAAGTCGTAAACAGGCAAAATTTAGCCATTAATAATAAAATTAAAAGCAACATTATGGAAATTAAAAGAGGAAGCAAAGCAAATGATAGAGGGAGACAAGCGGCTCTCCAATCTCACTATTTTCGACGGAGAAAATTAAGAGAATTTTAGAGAGAGAAAGTCAATAATCTTCTTCTCCTTTGCTGCTTTGAACTTCACAGCTTTCCCCTCTTCTTCAGGTACACACATATACTACATATTTTTAGATAATAAAACAGAAAATGAATTAGTCTGAGGATCTAGTGAAGATTTTTACCCTCAATCTGTTTATGGGTTTCTTTCCGATTCTATTTTGAACTTCGATTTTGTGATGAATTTTGGGTTTTATTTTGTACCCATGTTTAACGTTTACCTAGCCTCTTTTTACATGTTTTGATGCTTATCTCTTTACAGTGTTGTGATCAGTGGAGTGATTGGAGATTATATATTGAGTTCGATATTTAAAAAAAAATCAGCCTTTGGGTTCGATTAGCTGCGCACCCTCAATGCACTGCTCTTATTAATGTTTAATTTCGATATTACCATTTCAATCTCGTAAATAACTGTTAAGTTGTTTTTATCACTGATTTAAGTAACTCAGTTTTCAATTTGGATCTGCCTTGTTTGGGATCACGCTTTGTGGGTTGATTTAAGCATTTTTCTGGGGCATGCACCATCTACTTTGCATGCTTATATTGGGATTTGGAGCGCTATTTAGAATTCATGTTTAGGGTTCTAGATTTGCATTAGATGCATTATAATTACTGCTTTGTATCTTCACTTTCTTTTGTTTAACTTTTCCCCCAAAGCCTCATATGTAATATTTGGTTGAAATGTATATTATGGCTTCCATTCTGTTCTCTAATTGCGATAATAGCTTTATTGAAAGTTGTTAAAATTGAGAATCCAAAGGGAAAAAAAAACTTCAAAAATACTCTTATGAGGTTGCCAATTAAATTTAGGGTATTGATGCTAAGTATATGGTATGATTTAATTAATAGAATTATTCTCTCTCCCAAAAACAATTAGCCTAGGTTCATTTATCTTCAAAACTATGGTGCATTTTCTGTTTTGTGGTTTGGGTTTAATTTTGTTTATCCTCATCAATATAATAAAGCACTGGTTGATTGATCTTTCTTGTATGGCTATTATCTTTTAAACAAGTTGGTTTCACTGTTTTATTCTTTTAATGGACAGGTGATTATTAGCTTAGACAGTTTCATTATAAAAAAGTGTCTTTTGTAATTGTAATGGAATGGAGTGCTATTTCTCAATATAAAATGGTGCAAGTGATTTTAAGCTGTCAATTTTCTAAAGATTGAATTGAGTTGTGTGCTATTCTCTCGATAACTGATGGTGAATGCCCATACAATCTTGCAGGTTCAAGTAAAGGTCTTTGGAATGCTAACTTTGCTGTTGGCTATGGCAGAATGCATGTACTGATATTGCATTACTTGTGATAATCATGGCATATTGCCCTGGCTTTTTTGCCTTGAAAGTTTTATCCAAATGGAGAGAAATCTAGGAAAAGGCATAATGGATCAACAGAAGAATCATGAACAAATTCGATACAATAATATTGATGTTGGAAATGAAACTCTCGAGGCTGCAAACCAGAGATTTTTTCATGATCCATCTAGTAATATAAATACTAACATCCGACCTCCTGATTATAATATGTCGGCAGGAGCAAGACCAGTTTTGAATTACTCTATTCAAACAGGTGAGGAGTTTGCTCTGGAATTTATGCGGGAAAGGGTAAATCCCAGGCAACATTTTGTTCAGAATGCTTATGGTGATCCCAACAGTGGACCACTTTATATGGATCTAAAAAGCATTATAGGAGTTTCTCATACAGGTTCAGAAAGTGGCTATGATATCTCTATGCTTAACACAGTAGAAAACCCCCGTCCCCAGGAGCTTGAGAGAAAGGCCCCTTACGTGCATGAAGACAAGAGCTATTATGATTCCATGCGATCAATTTCTCAATCCTCTTCAAGAAATGACATTAGTCAGGGACATCGAGGTTATGAATCCAGAAATACTTCACTCAGCTCATCAACTAAGATGAAGTTCCTCTGTAGCTTTGGTGGTAAAATTTTACCACGTCCCTGTGATAAGAAACTTAGATATGTTGGGGGGGAAACACGTATGATTCGATTAAGCAGGGATATTTCCTTTCAAGAGTTTGTTCAAAAAATGTTCGCAATTTATAACCAAGCCCATATGATAAAGTATCAGTTGCCGGGAGAGGATCTTGATGCATTGGTTTCTGTATCTTGTGATGATGATCTGCAGAACATGATGGAGGAATGTAATGTGCTAGAAGATGGAGGACTGCAGAAACCCAGGATATTCCTTTTCTCTAGTAGTGATTTGGAGTATTCTCAATATGGCATGGGGAGTGTAGAAGATGATTCTGAGATGCAATATGTTGTTGCCGTGAATGGCATGGACCTAGGATCTAGAAAAAACTCAATTGCAGCAAGTGCTTCTGAGAACAATTTGGATGAATTACTTGGTTTGAATGTTGTAAGTGAGGCTAGTCGGACTATGGCTGAAGCAGCTGCTTCTAGTTCTACTTCTTTGACAGCTAATGCACTTGCATCCACAGTCCAATCTTCTAATGCAGCTTCTTCATCAATGGTCCAATCTTCTCATGCACCTTCATCTGCAGTCCTAACTTCTTGTGTACCTTCACCAACCCTCCAATCTTCTCAATCAGTTTTGGTGAGTTCATCTAGTGCTTATGAATCTAGTTCACAGCCATATTTAGAGCAAAAAATGCGTCATGGAGAAGCTAGCCAACGGTTGTATTCCACTCCCCTGGTAGATGGGAAGAGTAATGTTCCTTTGTCTCCTCCATTGCAGTATGGTTATGGTTATCAACCCTCTAACTATGTGATGCCTGGTGAAAATTTAGCTTCAGTGCCAGTCCATGGGCATGTAAACCCCCAGGTGGCTTTAGCTGATATGGGCTTTCAAGTGCAAGATCTGGAAGCATCTATTAAAGAGGTGAAACTGAAAAGAGATAGCTCTGCCTCAAAAATAACTGAACCTGAAAAAGTGCGGTCTCTAGACAAAGCTCCACTAATGAAGGAGCCAAAAATGAAAAGAGATGCATCCCTCCCTAAGATCAGTGAAACTGAAAAAATTCGGATGTCAGAGAAAGATTACAATGTCCCTTCAAATACATATGGAAGTTCTGTTGCAAACCATATTTCTAGTGAGGAAGCATCTGTGACCATTTCAGTTGCAGACATTGGCTCATCTTTGTTGCCTGCAAAAAATTTCAAAAAGAACCAGGAAGCTGTGCAGAATTTAGTGGCCCCTGAAGTTGTAAGTGAAGGGAGAAAGAATGTTGAAGATGACCACTCTTGCCCATCTAGTGGTCCTTTTACATCTGGTGCTGGTGGTTCCGAGGCTGATCCAAATGACTTTATATGCCTTGAAGGATCTGTGATTCATCGAGTGTTTCATTCAGAGAGAATCCCCCGGGAGCAGGCTGAAATGAACCGTTTATCTAAGTCTGATGATTCTTTTGGGTCACAGTTTCTAATGACTCAAGCACATTCTGATTCTTCCCGAATAATTAGAGAAGCAGTTGATATGATTCATGATGGGAATTTGTCTCCTCAAGCTGATCAATCTGTCACATCTGCAAATCCAGGATCTAAAAATCCGCAAACTGTTATGGATGGGCTTGCTGAATTTGAAAGGTATAAAGGTTTTGCTGATAAAATCACCTCTAATATTTCTGAGGAGGTACTTGAGTCAACCAAGGAGAAATCTGAATTGAAACAAGTCTCAGTTAAGACCACTGCTGATGAAGAAGCAGCTGGGTTAAATCATTCCTCAGGAGGTCAAAGAACTTCTGTTAAGCACCTTGAAGATCCATCTTTCAGCCCGTCTGATTTTGAGCAAATTGAGATGGATGAAAACAAGAATACAGGAAATCATTCTCAGGGGCATGGCAAACCTTTGGTCTGGGCAGAGAACCCAATTGGAGCAACTTCCAATGTACAGCCTACTCCTTCTGTAAATGCCTCTGAGCATGGAGACATACTTATTGATATTAACGACCGGTTTCCCCGTGACCTTCTGTCTGATATATTCTCAAAAGTTAGAATGTCTCAGAACCTCTATGGTATCAGTCCATTCCCTGGTGATGGAGCTGGACTGAGCTTAAACATGGAGAATCATGAACCTAAGCATTGGTCATACTTCCGTAATTTGGCTCAAGATGAGTTTGCTAGAAAGGATGTTTCCCTCATGGATCAGGATCATCTGGGTTTCTCGTCTCCGCTTACAAATATTGAAGGTGGGGCACCAATTGATTATAGCTATCCACCTTTGAAATCTACTGGTGCTGTTGCCTTGGCTCAAAGGAAGCCGGACATCAATTTTGATGAGGACATTAGACAAGAGTTGACTTCTGCTGCTGCTACTAATAACTTGGATATAAGCTCAGAATACAATAAGTCTCCAGTCAAGGGTGATGAAAGTAGACGAGTTGGGCAAAACCATCAAGTACCTGAATCTGAGTTTGAGGTACTAGTGCCTGTTGATATGATTTATATCCTTAGCATCTGAAGATAATTCTTGCTTTTGTCCGTTTTCTGACTTTTTTCTGTTTCCAAGGATGGAAAATTGGATATTCGGGATACTGGTGTACCTCCTGGGGATCATTCTGGTGGAGATATTGATTTAAGCACATTGCAGGTATATCTTTAATTCTAGATTATCTGATGTCCTAGTACTGAAAGAGCTGGTGAATTTTAAATTTTCTTTTATGTTTTCTAAATTTTCCAACTTTAAGAAAGCTTCGCCCGATTATTTGCATGTATGTTTATGTTTAAATCTTCAACAGAAAGCTTCTGTTAAGCCAGTAGTTCTTTTATCCATCCACAACCAAGCCATTCCTACCATTTTCTAGAACCTCATTACCAATGGAACCAATGCGGCTGCTAATGATTATTTTCTAGATGTTAAACGCTGATTGTCAGCATACATTTTTTTTCTAAAAATGGTCTTTGTTTCCTTACCTTAGCCAGCATGCTGGCAATTATGTCACCTCAGACGGCATTCATGGATGATATCTGTTTCTATCTCCTCCTCATCTCAATTTATGCTGGTTAATTGACTGCAAACATGGGAGAAAAATGTTATTCATCATAAAGGGGGTTTTTATCGAGGCCTGCCATTCCTATAAAAAAAAAAATATGCTTCTTGGTTGAACTGTTCTGCATTTTGTGCCCCCTAGTCTCAGTATTATTCAACTAATTTGGTCACTATTTCTAACTTCATGGAGGCTAATTTCATCAAATTCCATGGCAGATCATTAAAAACGAAGATCTGGAAGAGCTAAGGGAGTTGGGTTCAGGTACATTTGGCACTGTATATCATGGAAAATGGAGAGGAACAGATGTTGCCATCAAGCGGATAAAAAAAATCTGTTTCACTGGTCGTTCATCTGAGCAAGAGAGATTGGTTAGTTTTCTTGTTGTTTCTTGGCATTTTCTGAATCATGATTGGAGATTTATACTTTTTCCACTTCGTCTCATATCATTAACAACAGTCAGTCTTGAATGTTTTTCAGACTGTCGAGTTCTGGCGTGAAGCTGACATCCTTTCGAAACTTCACCACCCCAATGTGGTGGCCTTTTATGGTGTGGTGCAGGATGGACCTGGAGGAACACTAGCCACTGTCACAGAGTTTATGGTGAATGGCTCTCTTAGACATGTTTTGCTTTGCAAAGACAGGTAATATTTTTAAATATAGTTATTAGAATGTGCTGTTTTCCTCTGTTGCTCAGACTCGCGTAAATGACCGCCTGGTTCAACACGACAAGGATAAGCGTTTGGGGTATGGATCAGATTTTTTGGACTCGGGGTGATGGGGTGAGAAGAACAGAAAATGAAAGAAGCAGCAGCAGGAGAAGAGAACGGAAAGGGAGAGATTAGAATAGCTTGAAATCTTGGTTTTTGAGGGGCAAAGTAGTATAAAAAGCAAAAAATAAAGAAAAAAGTACAGTGAAAAAAGTAGAATGTTAAAACCTCTTAATTTGGGTTTGAAGCCCAAAAGATTGTTAATTAAATCCAATTCAAACAATAAACTAATATATTTTAGATTATGTTTATTTTTATTATTTATTTACAATTAATAATAGGTCAGAAGAAATTAAATAAATTAAAAACAATAATGTATATATCAAAAACTGATTTATATATACATATATTATACTTATGCACATATAAAACGAACCTCCTTACCCATGTCCTCCCGGATCCTTTTGTGCTGTATCCCTGTGTCTCGAGTTTAACTGAATTGGCAAGTTGGACATCTAGACACATACTCAAGTCCGACACCCGTGCCTGAGTTTGAGCAACACCGTTACTTTCATCACTCTAGAAATTTCAATTATATATTTTGTTTTACTTCATAAGTTCTGTAATTGTGTAGGCAACTTGATCGTCGTAAGCGGGTCATTATTGCCATGGATGCAGCATTTGGGATGGAATATTTACATTCAAAGAACATTGTGCATTTTGATTTAAAATGTGACAACTTGCTTGTCAACTTGAAAGACCCTATGCGGCCAATTTGCAAGGTAATTTGAATGACATTTTCATTTATAAACTTATAAACTTTACATTTTGCATCTCTTATTTTTTGTTAGGTAGATATTGATGTAACCTAAGTTACAAAATATGATGATGTGTGTGCAGGTTGGGGACTTCGGGCTGTCAAAGATAAAAAGGAATACCTTGGTTACTGGTGGTGTGAGGGGAACTCTTCCATGGATGGCCCCAGAGCTTTTGAATGGCAGTAGTAGTAAGGTTTCTGAAAAGGTAAGATGATTTTGTTCAGAGCTTAGATAAAGTTTGTTAAAGGTCTTGGTTCAGATCTTGCTTTACTGCAATCCTTTACATGCTGGCATCAAAATATATATGCTTCATCGAAGTGCTTGCCTCGCAATGATTCTGTTTCTAATATTATTTTGGATGACTTATAACAAGTGGGTTATACTCTTCATCATCTAGAATTCAACGGTACTTACTGGCTCAAGTTGTAGTTTTCTGTTTGTCAGTTATAAAGAAATGAGACGCTTGGATTTGTTGTCTCTGAACATTTTTCAGACCTAATACCCCCCACCCAATTTTCTCAATTTAATCTTTAAGATTTTTTTGTGCAATTTATTTGTATAAAATGTACACAATAGATCCAAGGTTCAAATCTAGGTTTCTTCCTAAAAGGTCCACCTCCATGACCCGTTAAGCAAGGATCAAATGGTCTTTATGCAAATATTACTTACCTGGATTTTGTCATTTGCAGGTCGATGTGTTCTCATTTGGCATTGTTCTATGGGAGATTCTTACTGGGGAGGAACCTTATGCCAATATGCATTATGGAGCAATAATAGGTATGAAATCTCAGTTGAAGTTTTTTTTTTTTGGCTACATGTGCTTTTGCTTTGTCAGACGTCTCATTTCTTTTTCCGTATTTTCTGACCTTACCATCATTATTTTATTGCTGACTTGATTTTTCTATTATTTTCATTAACCTTCTGCTGCTAAATTTACTATGTCACATTGATAGTTTACGTCCATATACTTTTTCTGGGGTCGGTCTATGTAATAATCTATAATATCGAGAATGTTCCCGCCTTTTATTCATGGTTGATTGAATATATTAACATGGGTAGCCTGTGGTTTGATTACCTCATCTCCGTGCAGGAGGCATTGTTAGCAACACTCTGAGGCCACCTGTACCAAGCAACTGTGACCCTGAATGGAAGTTACTAATGGAGCAGTGTTGGGCTCCGGATCCTGTGGTTCGACCATCATTCACGGAGATTGCTAGACGCTTGCGCATCATGTCATCAGCAAGCCAGACAAAACCACAGGGTCATCAGCCGTTGAACCAAGCATCTAAGTAAAACTTCTGATGCACACACTCATCAATGATTATGATAAGTCTGCTTTGATTTATATACTCCAAAAACGCTAGTGTATTGTTTTATATGAAAGAGTAAGGGAGACTGAGATATGATATTATTGTGCTTGGAAGTCAAATATGTTTATATGTAAAGCTATTATTATTCGCCTCACTGTGAATAACTGTGGGGATACAAACTTGGTTTTGGTGCTTGCTTGTAAACAATGTTCAATACAAATGTCTTTCTGTTATATATATACATACATGTATTGATTAGGGTGATAGTTCAGTTATATGAATATGAACATGTATTCAATGCACAATATATTCCAAAATCATGTATTACATTACATGCATGTATAATTTTAGATACATGCCAAAAGCGTCCTTTAACCAATCATGTGGTCATCTTCACTAATGAGAGTGTACATATTTCATGATTAATCATTTATTTATATGGAGAGCGCAGCAGTGAGGAATTAGTCACTGCTACCGACATTGGAAGCTCGAATCATAAATGGATTGATCCAGTTTTATTTTTTCCGTTTCAATTGAGTAATAATTCAGTTGATGACTAGGCATGATGATTACTTGATAATACTATTTATGTGGTGTTATATAAAACATTATAAAATTCGTAATAATTGGTTTAATATTGATGATATATGTTTTCTGAAGATGATTATATTGTCTGGTGGGAGTATACTTCACTATTTACGTCCAAACTCCCAAGAGCACACGTTTGGTACAATTTAACAAATGACGACGGTTTCCTGGTTAAAAATGCTTTGCAAAAATACTAAAGTAGTGATTAGAAATCGCGAAGTTCTGTCTGCTGGATAAGCGTTTTGCATCACAAATTTTCGAAATATAAAGAAAAATCATGCTACACAATAGTAGACTGAAAACGGAGGCATTCGAGTTGGAATTCAAAATCGAATATGGTCATCGCATTATTTTAGGGCGACAATTGTTTGTTCTTTTTGTGCCCACTTCATATGAGCCATTTTTAATACACAAACCTTCAAGCTAGCCTTTTAGAAACACTTCTAGCAATAATAATAAGTCTTAAGATTATTAAAAAAGACCGGAGGCATCGAGAAGAACAAAGAGTTGCCTGAATTTCATATACTGGCATAAAGTGGAGCTTGTGATCACCAAGTAACAAGGATGGCAAAGTCCAGCCATTTCAGAGGTTGCCAACAATGCCTACAGTTGGAACCCAGGTCGAAGTTCGCAATCCACTACATGGAATCATAACAAAGCTGCAAGTCATAAGTGATCAAGAGAACAACCCAACAACAACCTCAGGATCCTTCGCCTCTGCTGATACTAAATTCAATCATACTTTCATACCATTATTAAATAGTGTTCAAGTACAATTGTCAAATATGAAATTTTAAGAAAAATGAAAAATCTAGATGACATGGAAACCAACAGTTTACATCCATCACGTGACTGCATTTCATCAAGGGACAAACTACTAAAGTTGCAAACAATTTTCAGTCCTCGTGCACAATCAAAACGGAAAACATTCAGGGTTACAATGAGGAAGATTTCCAAAATAAACACACTTCTGACTAAAGAAATGCAGTAAAAGGGACCGTAACAGTATGCACCGCCATGACAAAACTTAGGAGGTCCCATCTATCGCCAAAAGTAATTCTTCAACCCCCCCTTGATACTTTGAGATTTCAAAAGTTATTCAGCTTTTATATGAAATGCAAGTAAATCACCCATGCATCAATCCCAAAGGACTACATGCTAAGCTTTGAAAGAAGTTCTCTCCATCTCGGGGTCTCTTCATCAAAAATGTAGGTCAGTGGCGATATTAGCACCCCACTGCCTCCGATCTGAACCAAACAATATTCAAATTCAGTGACCAGGATGAGCATCAGTTAAATCCTTTTAGGGTAGGGGAGGCTGTAATATCTACACATATCCTAGCATGTATGGCTGCACCTAAAAACTGATCACTTATTAAATAAATACAAGTTTATTTTCATTATTTTGGGGACCAAATTATATGCCCAACTCCTTGAAAGCTAATTGTGACACCCTAAACTTGGCCCGAGAATCCTAGCCGAATCCGAAGCACCACATTGATAATCAATGTGAGCTGATTCGATCAAACATCACTATATACTCATACATGACACATAAAGTTCATTATACACAATATCATCCGAGCATACTTTCAGGTTAAACATGCTTATTCCGGGTTACATACAAGATTACCAAACCAATTACGGACCAAATAATTAATACTCTAGAGGTTAGGTATCGATACTCAGCCCTAGGGTATAGATACCCTAGTCAAATTCTCAATTTTAGGCTGAAAATCACAGTAGCTGATGTTGGTATCAATACCTAAGCATTGAGCATTGATTATGGCTAAGTTAAGACAATTACATAAAAGATTATCAAATTACATAAATCAATAAGTAGGAAATGCTTTTAGAAGCAAGGAAAAACATGAGGACTTCTACAATGAAAACATTAAAATGAGGCTAAGTTAAAGACAATTACATAAATGATTATCAAATTACATAAATCATTATAACTTTTGTAATAATTTGCGTAATTGTCAAATTTCATAAAAATTTATCAAATTACGTAAAATATTACAGCCTCCTAATACTTATTGTAATTACACAGAAAATTAAAATTTACGAAAAAAATATTAGCTGAATTTGTAATCTTTTTGCTTAATTACTACAGTTTTACTTTTGCCTTAAATTAGCTTAATTTGAGATTTTATTTTAGAATTTCCAAAAACACAAGATGAAGTGTTCTAATTAGAATATAGATCTAGACTTGGATTAAACTTCATATGCAAATTGGGTTAGAGATAAAGTAGTGTTCCAAATAGAGCAAGCACTTAAATCAGTGTCCATAGCATTTAGGTTGCCTTTATCATCATTCATCATGACTCACCGCTCTCAACTGTTGCACAGACTTGTACAGAGCTTTCTTCGCTACACATATCACTATGGCATAGTAGTCAGCAGCTACTTTTCCATCACACTTACAAAACACGGGACATACTGTGGGCCCCTGCAAATATTAATAATTTTTTGAGCCTTCTTAGAATTAGCAGTTGCATTAAGAAAACCTTCAATTATTTCAAGTAAAAATTTGCAATGACTTCAAGTTCATTCCAAAAGTAAGTATTGAGAACAACGTCCTTTCAAACTTCACCTGCAACCCAGCTAAAGATGGTTGGCTCAAAACTCGCTCAGCCACTTCCTCTGCACTACTGCCCCTCATATTTGCAGTTACCTACCATAAGAAAAACTTATAGACAGGAAGAATACTGGGAAGAAAAGGAAAGAAATCCACAAGACTGGAATCCTGAATTAATTCGCGCACCGTGAACTGACCGAGAGCCCTCAAATGAGCCTCAAATCTTTCAAGAATCTCATGTGTCGTGTCCAGTGCACCTTTCCGCTGGATTAATGCCTTTCGGCTTGCAACAAGGACAGCCTGATGTCAAATGGATCTTGAGATCAAGCAACAAACTCTAAAAGCAAATCCTTTTCAAATTGCATACTCTATAGACTATAAGATCACTCGCTTGAACTTTGCATGAACAAGAAAAGACAAAGATCTTGTTACCTGGCTTTCCAATACAACTCCACCTTCAATTTCTTTCAAATTGTTTTCCGTAAGTGTTGTCCCACTACTAACAAGGTCCAAAATTGCATCAGCTATTCCCATCTATATTTAAAACAAAGAGAAATGATTTCTATAAACATCATACAAACAAAAAAGGAATAGTTTTCCAGATTGCTTTGTCTTTATCTAGAATTACTAGTGTTCCCTTTTAAATTCACTACCTTCAATAAGAAAACAACATTTTGTCCAATCAATATATCAACAGGGTGAAAGACTGAAAGGACACAACAGGTGGGTAGAACATTGGAAGGTACATTTAAACTAATACATATAAGAAAAAACTTCAAAAGAAAAACCTATATTACAGGTACTTGGGAAGAACTTAATTCTTACAGCAGGAGCAGCCTCTAAGGCTCCATCAGCAGTTGAAAATGTCACATGCCTCAGTCCATTTTCTTTCATAAATTTAGGACCAAGCTGTACAAAAAGACAATAGGAAATTAAATTCAAATATAAACATTCTTTCAATAAGTTACTTCAAATGAGTGTATGAGACAGAAAGTCTGGAAGACATAATTTACAAAAATCAGTGAAGTGCATGTCATACATAAGTGAAGCCAGTAGAAACTCTTAAAGGTTTCTCAATGTTCCACTGAGGCATCTCAGCTAGTTTCCTCAGTGAATCGATATTCTCAAAGATCCCATATTTGGGAATCTGAAAAACCAAAATACAAACCATCACTGACAGGGATATCAGAAAGGCCCAGCTCAATATATAGTTGTTAAAAAGAACACTTACTGCAAGGGATAAACGACAGTCACCGTAGTCAAGGGCATCATGAACAATAATAAGATCTTCATTACCCTGATAAAGTATCGAAAGAACAAGACTTTAACCTGCATATTTTTCTGAGAGCAACTCTTTTTACTTATAGGAATATATAAGGATAAATGCAGTATTAGAATAAACCACATTACAACCAAACTCAATAACTAGTGACATTTTCACAACTGAAACAATAACATGTAAACGATAGTTCTAATTTTAAATTCGACATTTAAAGGCAGGAATTTTACATATTACATAAGCACTGCACTAAGTTGGATAATTCAATTACTAGTGACATTTTCAAAATTGCAAAACACTACAAAGGATGGCCGCAATCAAACAGTATCCTATACATCAAAACTTACTTGTCCATATTCACTGACAGTATCAAGCCCCACGATACCAAGATCTAAATCTCCAGATAGCAATTTGCGGACAATGTCTTTGGGCCGCTGAAACCAGACTTCTACATTGGAAAGCTGGGAGAAGAACACATTAAGAATCGAATATCGACCATACATAAATGAGATGCAGATGCCAAGGAGAATACAAACTGTGAGATAGAAAGATGACACAGACCTGAGGTATTTGCGCAACATACTGCCTCGGATTGACTTGCTTAACTGACAATTGGCAATCCTTTTGCAGAAGATTGAAAGGATTCATCGGAACATTAATTTCAAACAAAAAAGTGATTAAAGTGTAGCACACATTCAAACATAATGATTGAAATTATGTACAAATTTTATTACTTACAAAAGTTAGAACTTCTAATTTTCTCTGACATTATTAGATTTTGCATCCAATAAAATTAAATAAACTTTCTAAACTATTAACAAAAAGGAAAATAATACGCAAAACTTCATTTTCTGGTGAAGGAAGCAGTACCTTGAGTAGATCGAGAGTGTCAGCAGCCATGCGACCTTTGCTAGGCAAGCCGAGACGAATTTCATCCCTTTCAGCTATTTTACTATCGAGTGTTCCGTTAACGACAGCCGTTTGGAGCTGCGAGGAGCAACAAGATATGAAGCTACGTTTAGAAACCGATACGTAGAATGAGTGAGGACATGAGATTGAGAAGGCGGGTATATATGCGGTGGCGCATTGCTGGAAATAAGGCTGCGAAAGAAGCATCTTACAATGGCTGGCCAAAATAAAAACCCTAACTGTCGGTTTTTGAAATTATTTGAAGAAACAATGACGATTCGTGCCACAAAGAAACCAGCCGCCGCAAAAGGAAGGAAGATGCTTTTCAGATACTTTTTTGTTTGGTGGTCTCAAATGATCGACTGTAGGAGGGAGGGGTATGATTGGATGCGGCCCGATATATTCTGTTTGATGCACTTCACCGATCACCACTGACCCAGGGTAAAGGAACCGGTGAGCAAATAATATGTTTAATCAGGTAAACTATTGTCTCGAGGTAATTATAATATCTCCTCTCTATTATTATTTTTAATTAAATCTTTATTTTATATCTGATCATATCAGCTCGGATCAAATTTATACTATAAAATTAGAGTCGGGTCAGAGTTAGATAGAGGATATATTTATCGGGTAAGTCGGGTCGGGTTGACCAAAAACCCGACCCAACCTTAGTCATTCCTAATTGTCTCTTTTAATTATATGAACTATAACTATAACCACTTAATTATTGTTTTTTTTACCACTACTTTTTTAATTTTGTCAATCAAATCATTTAACTATTTAAGTGTATCAATCAAACATTTGCTGTTAAAATTTTAGGGAGAAAATGTGGCTATTAAAAAAATAATATAATTATACATTTAATCATCAATTTAATCCTAAATTTAATTCAATTAAAATTTAATCTTTAATTTATTTAATTGAATTAAAATAATTTATCTCTAAAAATCAACTTTTTGTTTTTCATATAGTTCATATTTTTTTGTATTTTATATTGATGATTAAATTTTGTATTCTTTGAAATTTTATAATTTTGTACACTTATATTTTTAACCCGCATAATGCCAAAAATAGTCACAAACGTATACTAAAATTGTCATTTTAGCCCTTATTCAATTTTTAAATATTTTAACCTCTAATATTTCACTTTGGAGCAAAAATCTCCCTCTATAGATAAAAATCATTAGTTAACACAAGATTATCGCTCTAAAATATGAGCTTTTCATAACCTAAAATGAAATGTTGAGGGCTAAAATGTCCCATAAAAAACAAGGGACAAAGTGATTATTATGTTATATGTTAGGGGTTAAAATGCTTCAAAAATAGAATAAGCGTCAAAATAACTATATTCATAAACATTTGAGGCTGAACTTGGCATTATGCCTTTATAAACTCTTAAAGATTCGCATCTTTGACGTAAAATCTTAAGTTAACCTCTATTAGTTGATATAATTGGTGAGCTGATTTCACATAGCTTATAGTTCAGACCTTCTGGTTTCCTGTTGGATACAACACTGCAAATGGATGAATGGGTACTAATTAGGGGTGTAAACGAGTCGAGTCGCGTTCGAGTATTGCTGAGCTCGACTCGACTCGAAAATTTTGAAATGGAACTCGACTTGAAAACTCGCATTTTTAAGATCGACTCGAACTCGAAATCTTGAACTGAAGCTCGTGAGCAGCTCGAAAAGTCTCGAAATGAAGAAAAAAAATCTTAAACTTAACAAGATTGAATCCTCAAACTCGAACCTGAACATTAAATACGTGAAAGCCTTATTGTATTTTTTTAAAAAATCAACACATAAATGTTAATATTATTATTAATTAATTTTTTTAAAAATAAAATCTTAATATATTATATTTTCGAGCTGCTCACGAGCTTTTCGAGTCGAGTATCAAGTAGCTCGTTTTGGTTCGTTAAGAATTCGAGTCGAGCTCGAGTTCGGTTCGAGTCCATTCGATCCGAGTATTTACCCAACCTTAACCGAGTCGATCTCGAGTAACTCGCAATCTGTCTCGTCTCATTTACAATCCTAACACTAATATTTCTTAATAGGTTACACATACGCACACTAGTTGTTCAGATGTAGCTAGTATCTTTATTAACGATTGTGTTCATGATTGAGAAAACTCTCATGCAATACAAGCAAATACTATTTTCTAAACAGTGTTTTGAATCTTCTCTTGAGAACCGAGAGAATAAGAGATCCCACAAACGGACCAATTGTTATGATGACAATCTGTGCTAGCAACCACATCGATTGCATCCTTCGCAGGGAAAGCTTGTCGACAAGTCCTTGCACAGTGGCATTTGAAGATTGCTTATCCTCCTCTGAATTTGTTTCTTCATCCTTGGTGGCGTGCTCATTTGACGAAGACAACCTTTCTGATTCACTGCCCATTGTTGTCACCGATCCATCTCCCATAACATTCATATGAAGCCCTTCATCAATTGAACACGGCAGTGCCCGCTGGAATAAAACGTAAAAGTCGAATCAATTTCTTAAAAAAACACAAACCTCTTTTTAGGGATGTCCATTTTACCCAATCAGACGGGGTTTCGATCTGATCAGGTTTTTACTTTGAAAATTCATGTAAGATCATGTCAGGTTTTTTTAAGAGAGGAATCGGATAGGGTGGAAAAAATCCAATTCGACCCGACATAATATTATAATGATATTTTATATATTTAGCTAATAAAAATAATTTATATATATTTAGGTCGGATCGGCAAGTTGGATTGGATGCGGGTTTTAACCTAAAATATTATATTGGGTTTCGGATTGAGTTAAAGTCCTAAACCCGGATCAAATCGGGTCAGGTGGAGGACTTCAATTTTAAGTCGGGTTTGGATAGACTAAAAATTTAACCCAAGCCACCTGTTTTCATCCTACCTATTTTCCACATATATATAAATATAATTTTTAATCCTTTTTAGTAGAGTTATTTAACAGAATCATACATAAGGATCCAGTTCCTCTTATAGAACTTAATGACGGCAATTCTTCTATTAAACATGGAATTCTGATGGAAAAGATGAAATCCTGATCAGCTATTGTTTTGAGACTATACTACCTTCTATGCAGACTTTTGCAACCTAAGAGAGGTCGATTCAGGCAGAACAATAGGTAGCAGAATATTAACCTTGTTGGACCGCCTTTCATTAAAATCATATACTCAGCTACTATAAGAGAATTTCAGTTCTTACAACTTCTTTCGTTGGAGGAATTCTTATTTCTCTATCATAATATAGGGTGTAGTTATGTATATTTGTTCAAATAAAGACACAATTTTTCTTTTATGGGTACAATATTCACTTATTTTTTTCTAGCACTTATGGCTGATACACATATTGGACTTATTTCTGATATGATTCCAGTGGTCTCAAAAATCACCGACCATAAGTTAAATGGACTCAATTTTCTTGATTGAAACCATATTATTGAATTGTATCGCTCAGTATTTTTATGGATGATCATTTGACTGATGATCTACCTACGGATTATTCTAAATGGTCTTGGATGAGAGAAGATGCTCGCTTGTATATCCAAATTCCTAACTCTAATGATATTGAGGTGGTGAGTCTGGTTACTCATTGTAGGACAGTGAAAGAATTGATGAACTACTTACAGTTACCATATTCTGGTAAAGGAAACTTCTCTCATATCTATGATGTTTGCAAGAATTTTTACAGGACATATAAAGAAGATAGATCTCCCACCAGTTATTTTATGGACTTCAAGAAAACATATGAAGAGCTCGATATGTTACTCTCTTTCGGTGCTGATGAAGAGATGCAACGGAACCAACAAGAGAAGATAGTTGTTATGAGCTTTCTAACCAATCTTCCGCCTCAATTTAAGACTGCCAAATCTCAAGTCCTTTCTAGTCTAGAAGATGTTTTTCGAAGGATTCTCCGCATTGAGAATTCATTGTTTGTCATGTCTACTCAATCTCCTAGTGTTTTCCTTAATGGCGCTGACTCAGGATGAAAATATTACAAGAGTGATGACAAAAATAGGAGCATGGCGTCGGGATCTAACAACTCTGATAAAAATACTAGAGTTCGTGGACTAGAGCATGGGGAACTTATATGCAAAAAATTTCATAAACCAATACACATCAAGCGTGATTGTAAGAAGTTGCAATCTAAGAAAGCTCTATCTTCTAATATTGCATCTAGTGCTGAAACATTCGCAAATTCTTACAATATCTTTGGATGAGTATGCTAAATTGATTTACCCTCAAGAAAATGTGAATCAATCATCTAATGTTGTCACTGTCCTTAATAAGTCAGGTAAATCTAATACATGTCTTATTTCCACCTCTACAAAATAAGTCATTGATTCTAGTGCTACAGATAACATGACAGGAATTCCAATTTACTTTCTTTCAACCTCATAAGTCTATTACTCTTGTTGCCTTAGTCGATAGATCAACATCAAGTGTTATTGAGTTTAAACTCTCTTATCCTACATCATTTTCTTTGTTATTTGTTCTGAGTTTACCACAAGTATCTTTTAATATGATTTCTGTTAGCAACCTTACGTTTATCTTTAATATGAGTTTATTATATCCAGTCATATGAATATATATGAACTCCTTAATGAAGTAGGAATTAAGGTCTGAGTTCCTGCAAAGCTATGGTCAGATAACAAATTGCACTTCATATAGCTTCTATTATGGTCTTTCATTTACAAACAAAGTATATTAAGATTGATTATCATTTTATTCATGAAAAGAACCAACATGATTTGATTACTACAAATTATGTGAAAATTAGAGATCAATTAGGTGATATTCTTATAAATACGTTTAACGGAAACTGGATTAATTATCTATGTAACAAGTTAGACATGATTAATATATATATTGCAGCTTGAAGAGAAGTGTAACTAGTTTATAAGCTAAATTTTGGGTATTAAAAGATTAATTAAAAATGTTACCTAGTGAGTCTCTACACTTGTATATATACATATATAATTGATGTGAATAATAAAAGGGAAATTACTCCTTTTTTTTTTTTGAGATTACACCTATAAAACGAAAATACTGAAGCTATTACCTTCCGACTTTCTTTTATATATGGGTTTGTGCTCAGAACACCAAAGAACTCATCAACAGCTCTTACCCACCTGCAACGACACGAATAAGAGAATCGGAACAACATGAGCTTTATATTACAACTCGCAAGATAATCACACACAGCTGCAAGTATCTGAAGAAAATTATATAAAAAAAAGACAAAAATATGCAAGAACATATAACATGTCTCATTAGGCGCTCAATGACAATCATAAACAGTAATTTTTTAATTTTAATAATTATCCGTCATTCTCTTTAATGTCATGCCCCTACATGACGCCGAGATTATCAATCAAATGTTTGGTTCTCTGGATCTAGCCTTACACCATAACTCCATATTTGAACTTACGTTGTTCAGATTCGGATACAAGTGTCTGATGCGGGTATGTTTTCGTTAGATTTTTCTACGTTTTCCATATATTTGGAGGATTCTTGGAGAACATATCCTCATATCTACACGACACGAGTGGTTTAAGAAAAATAAAGAGTCGGGGCAATATAGATTTTAACCCTTCTTGAAAACAAAGACACACTAGTTCTCGTCTTTTTCATTGTATGTCCTTTGACTTCTGATATGTTTTCATCTCTGAAGGAATCACTGTTGTAATGTCCTTGAAGTATGAAACAGAAAACAAGTCACCATACATATCTGTAAACGAATGAGTATGTTGTCTGTAAACGATATTTGTGAATTTATTATGATTTGTTTCTTAACAATTCCTATTAGGGAGGGGAAAGGGAATTTTGTTGGTATTGAAACCACAACCTAGTGAAGAGAGAAGGTGTCAACTGAGAGCTTTTAATCTCAGCTCTAGAGATTGTTGACATTTATTATGAATTTCTTAAAATTTTATATAAATATGTAAAACATTAAACAATTACATAAAACATTATCCCCTCAAACAAGGAGGGAAATTTCTTGTGAATGTAGGCGCTTTTTGTTTTAAAATGAAATGTTGGAAGTTAAAATGTTTAAAGAAAAGGAATGGGTCAAAATGACTATTTAATCAAACGTTAGACGTATTTTTTGTAATTATGCCTGTAAAAAAATAAATTTATATATTGTGGGAAATGTCAATTATTACTATCATGGGAGAAAAAAGATTAATTACCATAAGCTTGATGCTGTTATCCCCTCATAAAAAGCCAGATGTCCTCCATGTTGCGTAGTAGCTAGGATAATATTTTCATTGACCCCATAAATAAATCAAACTAAAGGTTAGCTTAAAAGAGGGCCATAAAGTCTAATGTTGTCACCTGATACTAGTAAGACACTGATATCAGAAAAAACAAAGTCTGCTGTCTACCCTCACATTCATGTAGCCCATAAAGTACCCATTCAACCTAATATGTGATGCTTAACTAAGTAGGATATTATAGTTGAACTATAATTTAGAACGTATAAATCTACAATTACAACAAGGAATCAAATAGCTGTTATTTGACTCCACGGGAAATAGATAAACTGTTTATTCGGCTAAGTGCCCCAAGTGAAATGGGAAAAGGCTTTTATAGAGAGGTATATCATCAAAGGTGAATTCCTACCTACATTCGTCCCATGGAATAACTTCGCTGGTACACACTGGATCATCTAAAGCACTGATGCAGAGGAGAGGAACCGACACGTGTTCTACATAATTAATGCTGCTTGACCGCCTATAAAATGTATCCACGGTCTAGAACACAAGCTGACCTTATTAGTAATTGGAAATACGGAAAGAAGATGAAATAATAATATTGTACCTCAAACTTTCCAAGAACACGGGTAGCATGGTTATCAAAGTCCCTAACAGAACTTGACTGTGAGAACAGAATAGAGAGATCAATTAGGAGATCTTTCATTATGAAAAGGGGAAAAAATCAGATATGTTAGGACTAATGAAAAGAAAATGCTAGATGAGACATTTCTTGATTTAGTGCAAGATATTATTAGTATTATCCCTCTAAAAGAATTCAGTTATGTGCTCGACTAGGTTGCTTTTTATTTATAGATTAACAAAATTTTGAATACCTTTTTAATGCGTTCCCAATCTGCAAGACGAGATAAGATAGACCGATGCCTGTATGAAAGCTCAAAGTATAATCATGTAAAGACTAACTCTAAAACAAGTGATCTGATACTGTAAATGAAGTAATACAGACATACATTTGTGCATAACCTTGCAGGCCAAGTGTTAGGACTCTGTCATATATCTTCTGCATGGGTCGACGGTTGATGAATCTGTCACATATCTGCGGAGAAGCAATTTAGAACATACCCTAAGTAACAGAGATTTAACCAGAAAGTGATCATACTGCTGCCACTTCAGCCATCCTTGATAAACTTCACAATAGTTAGTGGCAGCAGTAGAAGGTTCTACCTTTATATCTGCAATAAGAAATGTTGACATTTAAGCTCAAATGATGCAGCATCTTTTCATTTGATAACCAGTGAAAGGAATTACTTGGTTTCATGGTTAGACCATGTGGCACCAAATCAATCAAATAGCTGTTAACTTTCCCTGTTTATCAAGGGTTTTAAGGAGCAGTTACCCCAACACAGGGATCCTATCAAAAGCCAGGTTTTCTTATTATTAATAGTTCTTGATTATCCTCTTCCCCCCCTCCCCCTCCATTTTAAGGAAAAATATGTCCTGTCATTCGTGTGATAGAATCTAACAAAGAGAAATGAGGAAGGGTCAAAGGTGAAAGAAAAGTATAGCCCCAACCCTCTAAAACTGAAAATTGCTGATCGAATAGAGATAAGAAATTTGGTGGTATGATAGACAGAGATACTAACCAAGAGGTCCCAAGGGGAGCATATAGCTGCAGCACCGTCAAGAAGAGTGTTAGTCCCATCCTCTCCAAGATATTTAACCTGAAAGTGGAACTCGGTCTTAGTGAGGAGAAAACGTAAATTTGGCTTTGCAAACAATATATATAACAACCCTATATGCGGAAATAAAAATTTATGAGAATTTGCCAACATGTAAAACAATTTGTCAAACTGGAAAAAGACATTCCTATGAACAGGATGGATCTTAAACACAATTGTTTGTACAGAAAAAAAAAAGGTTCACTGCTATCTAGACAGCATCAAGAGGGATAACTATAATGTTACTTATAAAATGGATTAACTCATCTTTCAAACAGGGAATCAAAATTCAACTCAAGATCATAATTGACATTTCTTTTATTTAACCTGCTAGGAGCACACCAACAAAAAGATAAACATTAATGTAAGGGTTTTAAGTAATATCAATTCTAACTGCTACATGCTCAAAGCTGGAGCAGTTAGCGAAATGATGATTAAAAGCATTATCACTTCCAAGGAAACTTTTGAAAATGACATTCAAGTTCTAAAACTTAACCAATTTTATGATGGCCGATAACATAAAAACCAAAGCACTGGAAAAATTAATTCACCAAAATATTGGCGCCAATGCTAGTTCCAACAGAAAATAAAGGAGCTTCAGGATATTCACAATGAATATGGTCAATGATTTTCCGCAGATCCTCTGTCCATCCAGCGTTATAAAAGCAATCAGACTGAAAATAAATGTTAAAAAAACCCGTATAAGCTACTGGAGTTCACAAATGTGAAGATGTTAATTTCTCACAAGAACTAGATGAATAGAAGAATATAAGCAAAAAAGGTCCCACAACAAACTCACAGTGAGTGATACACCTCCCAGCCCACGATGGTTGCTTACAGCAACATTCCAACCGTTTCTTGCCATGTTGAATGCAAGATATTTCGCATACTGTCCACAATATGCCAAACTTCTTTAAGTACTTTAAAGTAAACAAATGAGATAAACATGGAAAGAAAAAAAAAGAATGAATTGAACTTACAGGAGAAGAAGAATCGCTGGTTAAACCAGGAATCACAATCACGATCGGTGTTTTATCACGTTTTATAGCAGTTGAATTATCAATCACGCGGGAGCTACCCTCCGCGACTGTAATTCATAATATCGAAAGTAAGGCCATATCGAAAATCTAAAAATAAACAAAATAAAATCACGCGGATAAGAAAAAAAAATACTTACTATCAGAATAAGTTAGCCAGTCCAGAGTAATCGTTCCACCATCCAAAGCAATGAACAATTGTCTAAGAATAATAAACACTTAGTACGTTATTATTTATCCAAACAACAAGGTTGGAAATAGTGAAGCAAAAGAAAATCGTTAAAGAATTGAACTAACCGTCTATAAGCAACTGAAGGAGCCTTTCCAAAAAGACTCAAGAAAGCTGTCTGAAGATGAGGACTAGAAAGCCATGGAGTTGGCCGAGTATCTGCTCCATCATTTCACAAATTACAGATAAAAACAAACAAGGAATGAAAGCTTTAAATTCGATTCTTTAACGTACTGATGGAAAGATCTAGATATAGAAGGAAATAATTATCATATTTACCTCCCGCGAAGAATCGTACAGTTGGAAACGAGCGATTGGCAGAGGTGGGAGCAAGAGTTGTACGTCAAAGTAACATGGTCGCCTCTGAAAAGAGTGCGTAAATGGTGAAGAAAATGAATCTCCAGAAAACTGTACATAAATGCGAGGGAAATAAAGAGAGCGACAACGAAATAATGTGAGGTAGGAATTAAAGTAAGCGCTTGGAAGAGAAGATCGTAAGGTGAGGCGACGGAGGGCTTTGCCGCCAACGTTTCGAAATCCATTGTCATTGCCGGGGCACAAGTGACAAAGTGATTTTGAGAAATAAATCGAGAGTGAAAATGGAAATGGATATGGAAGAAGAAAAAATCCATTTATCTATTCATCGGAAAGAAATCCTAACAAAGATAATATATGTGTTAATATTAAAAATATAATTAAATTATATTAAACTAATTTTTATAATATTAAATTTTTAAAATTATAAAATAAATATTAAAATTTTGATTTTGTTAACAGTTGTCAAAAGAAAAATATGACATATTATTATCTCATTTAATTTCTCAATTATAATTAAAAATTTATTTTAAAAATTTATTTTAAAAATTTTCAATGTTTTTAATAATAATTTTATTTTAAAAAATAATTTATAAATTTACATAAAAAGAATTTAAAAGAATATTAATATAATTTTTTAAATTCTGACATGATAATAAAAAAATTTTATTTTGTCATTGGCTATTATGTGATGATTTCTGTCATTTAATTTTGATAATTTTAAAATTTCAGAGTTCGTTTCTGTTATTATATTGTGAATCTGATTCTTACTCGTAAATCTATAAAATTGACAATTGAAAATGAATCATGACAATAAATTTTAAATTTTAGGTATTCAATAATTACATAGATATCGATTATATATGAAATTGAACAAAGTCAAATTCTTAAATAAAGGGTGAGACAAATTTCTCCTATATATATATATATTCTTTGTAATATATGAACGTAAGATTTTATCTAAGTAACATCAAATTCTTTATCATTTAATTCAAAATGTATTATTTTATGACCAATGATTACAATGGAAAAAATATTGACTTTGAATTTTAGATTAAGATAATATATTAATTGAATCTAGTTGTGAAATTGATGACAATCATATTATATTAATGATCTAAATTAAAGGGCGGGGATTATTTTTTAGGCTTAATATTTTATAAAAAAATATTCACAAATTTATAATTTTAAAAAATATTTTTATAATTTAAAATAAATTGTAAATTTTTATTTTAAGTGTCAACTAACACCTCAATTATTCATCTGAATTCTCCTATGTGATATATGATGATCCCATACATGATATAAAATAATAAAATAATTGTAAAAATCAATAAATGGTTATTAATAAAAAAAATGAATTGATACCATAAATTATTTATGTTTCTTTTAAGAATTTAATTAATTTTCCATAAAAATCGAAGACTTTTAACATCATAAAGTAAGTTTTTAAAATTGAAAAAGATTAATTAAAATTTTAAGGATTAATACAAAAAAGTGTTCTAATTATATATTTTTTTACCTAAACTTTTTTGGTCAATCCATGTGTTTAACGTTATAAGCGTTATCATTTTAAGCGTCTAATATGTAACAATCATTGAAAATTTTCATTATCTGACACGTGTCACATTTATAGAATTTTAATTTTTTTAAAATAAAAAGCTTTAAAATTATATATATTCTTTGAAAAAAAACCTCCAAAATTAGCTTATATCTAAAAAAATCCAAAACATTAAAAATCTTAATTTCAATCCCTAAACCCACGCCGCCCGCCGCCATTATCGTCGATCGAATCTCCACTCGACCACACCTCCACCGACGACCAGTTACTCAACGAACAACCACCAAAAAAACAATCGTCGAACCCTACCCAACAAAGAACAAATATGTCATGATAAACCCTAAATCACTACACTACATGACCTCGACGATCATTTTGACAAAAAAGATGTCAACGTCAGACAATGGAGATGACAAAGATGGTGTCGTCAGTCGTGGTCGACAAAAGAGGTAAGGTTGGGGTCAGAATTAGGGATTTTAATGTTGATTTTAGGAATTTTTAGGGAATTGAGGTTATTTGATAATTTTAGAGAAATTAAGTTTTTTTAAATATAATAATATTTTTAAGTTTTTTTAATTTTAAAATTACTTGAATATGACATATGTACGAGTTGTTTTAATAGTCGAGACATTTAAAATGATAACATTTATAATGTTAGACACCTGAATTGATATAATAAAAATTTAAACATCTAAATGAGAAAAAAATGTGTATATTAGAAAAACTTTTTTTTTATATCAAGCCAATTTTAATAAGGTAAAGAAATCAATGGCAAGTAACTTTTATATACACACACCAACCCCGGAAGATTTTGTAAGATTTTTTTATGTCACAATTAACATCATTTTGAGAATGACAAATAAACAAAAGGATTAAATCCTAACATTTTAATTCACATGTTTCACGACGAAACAATAAAAAGGTTTTGTAAAAAAACAAAGTGAAAAATAAAAACAATGGGTGCAGTAAAAGATTGAGAGGGTATAAATGGAGCTGCTTATGGAGCACCACGAAGCATCATTTAGTGTTGTTGGGAGTAGGGCTTTAGTCTCTCTTTGATTGACACTCTGCTCCACATAAAAAAAGAAGGGCAGCAGACTTTGCATCTCTGTCCCTATTTACTCCTTTGCTTAGCATTCTCCATCTGCCACTTTCCTTTTATCAAAGTAAGTCTGGGTTTTTCTTCTTCAATCACTGTGTTTGTTTTATACGTTGGATTCTTGATTTATAAGATATATATATATATATATATATATATATATATATATATTGAACGAATGAAGCAGGAATAACGGAAGGTGATTTATATGATGGGGGAGAGGATCCCACCAGGGAGTTACTTTCAGTATCCGCCATCTGGAGTCCCGGCTTCCCCTCATAGGACTTCTTCTCTTTCTACGGATCGTGAAAGGTTAGATTTTTCTTTTGTAACCAAAAATACTTAATCAATCTAATATTTCCTTTTGTTCTTTTGGGGAAGTTTCACTCCAAGATCTGATGGGATTTTTTTATTGGTCCAAGTATTAGTGCTTTCTTTGTTCCGATTGACATGGGTTCTTGAAGTTGGTTCAATGGAAAACTTAAGTTTTTTTTATTCCTGTTTTTATATTGTTTTTGTATGATTGATTGTTTTAAGTTTAATTGATGGTTATGTTTTTCCTCAGGTTGATGCTCATATTTTTTATGCGTGTGCTTTACATACTGTTTTTATCTTACTGTATCATCGTTATATTCAATATTACCTCACAATCAAGTTAACGATGGCAGATATTTAGCTGAATTATCGGCAGAGAAACAGAAGTTGATACCTTTTACACAAGTACTGCCTCTATGTACCAGGCTTCTTAATCAAGGTTATTGAATTTTCTTTTTCTTTTCATTTTTCTGCAATAGATGACTCATTAGCAGTTCTCATTTGCATCATCGGAAACTGGTCGTGGTTGTTTTTTTGTTGTTGTTGTTGAATGAACAGAACTCTCAAAGTAAAGCTATCTGTACCGGTATTTATCAAGGATGTAAAAATCTTGTGCCTAAACCTACATTATATTATTATTCTAATTAATATAAATTTCATTCTGCTAGATTTTATCATAGATTTATCATTATGAGTGCACTGTTGGTTAGTTCCTTCCAAGAATAAACCACTCATGATGAAATAAACACAGCGATTTGCAATGAAATTGAACTGAAACTGTAAACAAGTAATATCGTAATACTAACTGTCCACCTAGCTGAAGTTGACCTTTATAATCCTAAACTAGCAACATGTGATGTTAAATTATTACAGGTCGAAGTGTTCTTAGACTTGATGGTTCTATGTGCTTTTAAAAATTAAAATAACCATACTGGATAGCATTCCTTCAGAGAGTTCTGCCAAAACATGTAGCCTATGCCACAAATAAACCCCAAATGTCCACATTTACCACTAAGGTAGTTTTGACAATATATCAGGTTTTTTTTTCTTATTTAACTGCAGAGATCAGAAGGGTCTCGGGTCTTACTCCTAGTTTTGTGGATCATGAGAGATTTGAGCATGATAGTCCTTTCAGGTTATTGGGTCAACATCCCAGCGGGAGACCGATGGACTTGGAGGGATGGTCTGTAATGCAAACAGAGGTAATACTGTTTAATGGTTATAAGCATTCCAAATTGTTTTTAAAAATAACTTTTATATAAAACTTTGCAATTGCTTATCAGTTTAAAAAAATTCAATATCCTTGTCCGCCAATGTGATTTATTCTTGGGCTTAATAATGTGCTTCTCATTAATGTTAAATGAAAGGAAGATGAAATTCCATTAATGTGGTATCTTCTTTTAGGAAAATGGACACATGCAACGAGTTGCTCCAGTTCAAGCTGCATCAATGGGTTGGCCTGGTTTGCCAAGAGCTCCTACAACACCAATTGTAAAGAGAGTTGTTAGACTTGATGTACCTGTGGATAAATATCCAAGTGTAAGTTATCTGGAAAATTGTAAGTTTTAGTTTTCTTCTTTTTTAAGATAATAGTTCTGACTCTGTTCTTGCAGTTTAACTTTGTTGGCCGAATCTTAGGACCACGAGGGAACTCCTTAAAGAGAGTTGAAGCCATGACAGAGTGTAGGGTGTACATAAGAGGCAAGGGTTCTGTCAAGGATTCTGTAAAGGTATAGTCAATCATTTTAATTCCTTTTTTTCCAACATGTAATTTTGGTAAAACCGTGTAGTTAAGTCTTGAGCTACTTCTTGCTCAGCCATTTGTACAGATTCTTATTCTAATGGAACTATGTAAGTATTTATATACTTTCTCTTGAACACTAGAGTGTGGTTGGTTGTCTAGCTAGGCTTAGGAGTATGATATCCTGTTTTCCCCCATATTTTCCCTCTTAATCAATGTTGTGGGGTGAATACAAGGTGATATTTGTTCAGAGACTTTCAACCGTTTGACAATGAACGTTCATACCCTTGGCATACGCGGTGCTCGATCTCGGGATCTCAAGGGGTAACAACAAACCCCTTAACCACCGAGATCACTTGGTTCGTGCTATGCTGGAAATTGAAATTGTAGGCGATTTTGAAAATTGCTCATCTAGTTTCACATTTTCTGGTAATTTGCATCTCCGATTGCATTTGATGTACTTTGCATCCAATATTGGTATCATGTTTATTTGAGTTCCATTAAGGCCTTTTGCTGTTTATCACTCATTTTTAGTTCACATGTATTCCAAGCTTGACTTTTCTATTACAACAAAAGCGAAAAGTAAAAGCATCAAACAAATGAAACCTCAATCGTTTACATTGTTGTAGTATCTATCGTTAGCAATCAATGCAGTGATCACCTTTACTAAATAAACTAACTTGTCAAATAGAATGATGCATAAGCAAGTTTTGACATTTTCAGCTTAAATATAGATAAAGTTTTCCCTTTCTTTTCTGCTTTACTTGTGTTAAATTCTCACAACAGGCTGCTGACTTTTCTATAGGAGGAGAAGCTGAAAGATAAACCCGGATACGAACACCTTAATGAGCCACTGCATGTGTTGGTGGAGGCTGAATTTCCCGAGGACATGATAAATTCTCGTTTGGAGTATGCTGTTGCAATACTAAAAAACCTTCTGAAACCTGTGGTATGATTTATGAACAGAAAGCAATTTGTGATATTTTATGTTACCCTTCCATTTCTATTCTCTAATCCCTCCGTTCCAACATTTTCAGGATGAATCCTTAGATAGCTATAAGAAACAGCAGCTTAGGGAGTTGGCTTTGCTAAATGGTACCTTAAGGGAAGAGAGCCCGAGTATGAGCCCAAGCATGAGCCCTAGTATGTCACCCTTTAACAGTGCAGGAATGAAGCGGGCTAAGACTGGAAGATGACGGTGGACATATGATCAATTGAAATCATAGCCATAACTTGGGGAGGCCGAGTTAGGAAGATGTAAGTCGAACTCTGAGTTTTGGGCAATCTCCAATGAGATCCCTGTTCTTTCATGTATCATTCATTCCCCTTAAGGTTTGATGTCTCTACTTCATTAGTTAAAATAACATTTCCCCTAATTACTTTTAGCCACGTTCCTTCTGCTTCTGATGTGCTCCAACATTCTTTGTTCTGACAATCTTACAATATTTTATGTATATTTCTACATATGCGTGCTCCCTTCATTATAAGATACAATCATTGTATTGTCTTTTTTCTTAATAGTAAGTATTATCTCTGTATCTCTCGTTTATTTCACATGCCTCTACCTGTGTAACATGAATGGTTTAAATGTACCGGTTATGCTTCTATTCATTGAACAAACGGCAATGGTGCCTTAAAAAATGGTTATTTCAGGAATTCATGGCTGCCTGATTGCAGGGCATAGTGGAACATGCAATGCAAACTGGTGAATCTTTGGCATTGATGATTTGTAATATAATAAACAATGATACAAATGAGAATTGCCTCCTTAATTTATCATTGAAAGCACTTGGCATCCAGGAGAGTTTCGCCATCCAAAGGCTCACAATCTTCAATTATCTGAGTCACCCGTTCCTTTTGTACTTGGTCCTAGATGTCACAGACAGCCACAGCCTGCTTCACTTCACCAAGAACCTTCTTGACATTTGGTTGATTAAGCATGGTTCAGAAGTACCATTCAACATGAAAGAACCCTGAGTTAAAACTCTTGCTCATGATTTCGGAGAAACCCAAATAGAGATTGTGAGAAATGTAAATAGTGAGAGTGAATTTGGGAAGCGGGTTATGGAGTGAATAGTTGTCATCTGAAAATTTTATTTTTCTACTACTATAAAAGGGATAGTCTCTCTCCTTAATTGGTATTCTTCTCGAAAATGTTTTTGTTGAAGAGAGCAACACAAACGAGCTTCACTTCCTCCCTTTGGGTATACGAAATTTAGAAAGATGTGTTAACTGATAGGACAATATCCATTATAGTAATTATACCAATTCAGACGAAATTACTTTTAAGACGACGACTTATATTACAACACAATAAGTCATTCTACTTTTAGGAGGTTGCGTGTCAAGATAACATCAGCTTATATTACAACACAATAAGTCATTCTACTTTTAAGAGGTTGCGTATCATGATAACATCAGCAAGGGTGACTAAATGCCCAACAAGAAATGTGTTGAAAGCAAGATGAGTGCTCAAAGCACCAAGCGAGCTCTTCAGTGCAGCAATACCAGCTTCCTCGGCCAGCAAAAATACAAATTCAGTGCAAAATGACATCATCAGACTAAAAACAAGCGTTAAGAAGACTGTTACTAACGCATGCCAACTTGATTTATCAATTCAATGGCATGGTTTGCACCAAATTCACATATGCTTCTACTGCTCGCACCAATTCATTTACAGAAATTATGCACAGAAAAAACACAACCATATTAAGTGTGCACCAGATAGTCTTACCCTCCTTAAAAAGAACAATATATGTAATCATCGCCATTTTCTTTTTTCTCAAAGTTTTTATTTAGATGACTTAGTTGCCTTAGTCCAATACTAAAATGGGGTCTGTTGCCGTATAATTAAAAAGAAACAATACTAAAAGTATGACCCCAGCATATAAAGCTTAGTTAAAATGACCCAAGAACATGGGGAAGAAAAGAGAGTAGAACTTACTGGAGGAAGGTAAACACCATAACCAAGTCTTGGATACAACCATTTTGCAATATTAGCATCAATTTCCAAGACAATACATATCGAGCATAGGGATGGGCACAAGACCTGAACCCGACGGGTTCCGACCTGATCCCGACGGGTTCCGACCTTATCTTATTGGGTCGGATTTAAAAAAAAAGAAAGTTTCAGGTTCGGGTCTGGTAAGATTGAATTCGACTTTAGGATGAAAATATCCGACCTGAAAAAAATATAATTATACCTTGCATAGTTGGAGATAATTGTAATAATACTCCTCTCCATATTATTATTTTTAATCAAATCCCTATTTTTATTGAATAAAAATAATAGTTTTTTATAAATATATTTGCTTCGAGTTCGAATTGGATTCGGATTTTATCTAAAAAGATTAATCGAGTTAATGTTGGGTGAAATCACTCTTAAACCAGGTCGGGTCAGGTTTCAGGTGTATATTTTGGGTCAGACCAAGTTAACCGAAAAACCTACTCATCCCAATTCATGCCCATCCTTAACCGAGCAATGGATCGACTTCATATCCATGGAAACGGCTTGGAATCTCACTGAGAACTTTTACACAGTTTCCCCAACTCTTAAACGACTTCCCAGTTCCCAGTGATAAAATAATCTATTGTGCATGGATATAGTCTTCTCCCGACTCCTATGTCTCCTGTTGCACCGTCCGCCACCATCCTATTTTCCACTAAACTCGATACTTTTCGCAAAATGTTTTTTAAGAAAAATAAAATAAAAGAGTAAATAAAATAACAAAATGACATTGGCCAGGAAGGCCGAAAAAGAATGAAAGTAACATTTTGACAAGATGGAATAAAAGGCAACGCCTATATGCACAGTAACACAATTACAGTCTCGATTCAATAATCAACCAGAAACTATGTGAATAAAGTTACAACATCTCTACGGTACCCTCTTACCATCAAAAGTCTGGGCACATTATCGACCAACAAATCCATGTATTCCATGTAGCAGTAAGCTGGGTGGCTGATTGGAGGTGGCGGTAAGCTTACGAGCACAACTGCGGCCATTCTAGAATATTTTAAGATCGTTGAATTCAACTTCAATGTTGTATAAAGGAACTTCTCTACTTGTTGCTCATTCACAATTACAGGCTTTCCATCAGCCATCAATGGGGTCCCTTCTTTCTTTGCTGTTTCCTTTATCTCTGCCAAGTAATCAGCCACCCGTTTCTGAGCAGCAGTAAGTGCCTCCATTGACTCGTCTGGTTGAGATCCACCCTCCAGTTGCACATCCCATGACTTTATCGTTATAACAATCACTTCAGCCTGCATCCGAAGATCGTATAGGAACTTCTTCACATCAGCCTTGAGGCCCTCTGCATCTGTATCCTCTTCCGCAATGCAGAAGACCTGAATCTTACAACTCTCAAAGCTCTCTTTTGTAAGAAGAAGTTGCGACAGAAGAAGCATGAGACCGCCATCTCTCACAATCCAATACAAATCAATGGTACCATATTGCCTTTGATACTCATTGGGCCATTCATCAAGGCCCTTGACAATGACAACTGCCTTATTTGCAACAACGCAGTCATTGATTATACCAACAAATATGGCTGGGATTTCTTGTAGGTTCTCACGACGCCATATTTCTGGATATCGCATCACTACAACATTGGGCTTAAGGTTGCCGAGACCCATAGTCTGTACAATTCCACGGAAGCCTTCAGTCATATTAGGCGCCACAACTATTTCTGCAACACCTTCACAGTTCTTGAAATTAATGTAGTTATCAAGTTGCTTGCAGGCAGCCTTGGCATCTTCAGCACGTTCATGATAGTCTCCATCCAGTATATTGATAAATATGGACATTCCACGACCCTTCTTCTTCATGCAGTTGGCAAAGTCGGCAAGTTTTGGATGGCAAGGTACATTCTCTGGCAGCTTACCCCAAGGCCGGCAGAATACAAGAGGAATGGGATACCAATTCTTTGGATGAACTTGGTTAGCTGCAAACAAAATGATAGGTCAACAGGAACACGAGGCAGCACTCATGTCAATATGTATAAAATACAAGTAGAGCGAGAGCGTGCATATAGACGCAGAAATGCAATTGGTAAAGATGCATAATATATGACATACCTCCCAGAGATCTTAGACTGCGAAGGGCTAGCTGAAAATAGGCACTTTTGAAACCATCTCCCCAGTCCCCAGCTTTTCCTTTAATGCTCACATAGTAATATATGAGGCTGGCAAGAGCCAGAGACACTACAGTAAATGACCATGAGATCAAGAACATAATCACTGCGGCAAACAGAACAGTTGTGACCCTCAGTTTCCCATGCAAATATTTTTCCATCTATATGGGGCACAAAATGTTAAATACAAGATTGCTTGAACACAATGAAGCATACCTATACAAAGTGATGCTCCAAGGAGAGAGAAGCTCCAGTGGTGAAATTTCCATCGAGGACGCCAACTGGGAGCATCTAGAAGGTCCAGAAGGAAACAGGACAAGTTCACACCAGAATAGCACAGAAGGAAAAACATGGTTACAGTTGGTGTGATAAGATCCAAATTCCCAATAATCACACAACCCATACAGATAAAGGCAGTAAAGAGGGTAGCCATATAAGGCTCACTCCCGTCTGCAACTTTGAAGTAATTGAGAACAGGAAGAATATCATCATTGCTTATTGCTGCAAGGAGGCGAGGGGCACCAGTCAAGCTTTGAAGTGCTGCACCTAAAGTTGAAAGAATAATTCCAATATGAATGATAGCAGGAAAAGGCCAAGCAATTGTAGCTGTAAGTAGCCTGCATCAAAAGTGGTTGAGCATTACAAGAATACCTAAACCTTAAATCCTAAATAAAAGAATGCACATGGGAAACATTACCAGCAGAGTCAAAGGAGAATTTGTGTGAGACTAGAAAATATGATACCTGTCAGTCAAAAGCTTGTCTCTGGTGGCAACAGCTCCAAAAAGTAAGACAGAAACTAAATAGAGACCAGTAGTGGTAAGTGTGGCAGCCAACGTCCCAATCGGTATAGAACGCTGGGTGTCTTTAAGTGAGGCAGATCGATTTGAACCAGCCATGATTCCTGTTACAGCTGGAAAAAAGAGACCGACCAAAGCACTGAAGAAACATACAAATAAGGAGTTAGAAACTCCAAAAAAAAAATCCATTACATCAGGCTTCAGATAAATCTTGGTTAATGAATATCAGCACTAAATAGTAGGGGAACATCATTTCTTTTCTTTTGATAGTTAGAAAGGTGGAGGGAGAGAAATTTTGGACCTCCAATATCATACAAATTCCAATACAATTAGGTGAAAGTGTGCTTGTTGGTGAAAGTTTATCTAAAAATAGTCCTCCAGATGTAGAATCTCAGCCTTTGATCATGAACTATCACAATGCAAGAACCTTATCAAAATTTAACTCTAATAATTACAATGCTAGGAGCCTTAAAGATTCTTACTGGAAGTTCCAGTGCACATCTCCTTCAGCATCAGGGATACCAGCACTGTTTGTATTCTGATAATCTGAACTCCAGTTATCTTTAAAGCTTTCTATACTCAAGCCCGTAACTCCAGCTGTAT